CGCAGACCCTCCGTCTCGCGTCCTCTGCATTGGGAAGGGGTGGCTCTGAGACTCAGGTCCTTCTGGTGCCTAGAAGGACGTCGCCAGGGACTTTCAGATGGACTCGTCCCTAACCGATGTCTCCGAGGCTGCCGCCGTCCCGTGATCCTGAGCCCCCAAGGGCCTGGGGTGCGAGGGGGCGACAGCCGGCTGGTGCACCTTCGGCTACCGGGCCCGCGAGAGGGCGCCCAAGGTCGCACAGCCCCGTGGGAGTTTGCCCTAAAAGGAGGCGAGGCGGGCTGGCTTGAAAGTATTTTTCTTGTAAGACTTGGCCAGAGAGGTGAGGAAAGCCGAGTTCAGTTATAAAAGACGGCCCTGCCCCCTCATCCTGCCCCTAAAACGGTCCCCACCCCCAAAGACCCCCTAATGACCGCTCTGTCCACTACCCAGGACCACTCTGCCCACTATCCTTGGTTTCTAAGTGGCAATTCCTTTCCCCTTTTCTGCTGCTCAGAGCTGTCTTCACATCTGGGCAAATCGCTTATTTTGCGTTCAGCGCCGACTGTGTGAGGACCGGGCGCACGGTGGCGCTAGGGACCGCAGTCCTGAGGCAGGTGATAGCTGTCCCGTAGCGTCAACAAATCACCGCAGTCAGGTGACAGGCGCTGCCTCAAGGCTCCGGACCGGCTCTACTGCAGCCCGGGGCGGGGGAGTGGGCCGCTGAGGTCTCTAACTCGACCTGAACCAGCCCAGAGGAGCTGGACTTAAGGCACCCGACCCAGCGCGGGGATTTCGGCGCTGATGGGAAGAAATGCATCCAGGAAGGTGGGGACTTTAAACGTCAGGATGAGGAGGTGGGCCTCATCCCTGAAGGATAGAGAACTGCAGGAAAGGGAGTGACGGCCGCAAATGACAGCATCAAATCCCTGGATTAGAAAACACATTTTGTGGACTGAGATTATAGCTCAGTGGTTGAGCGCTTGCCTCGCATGCGTGAGGCACTGGGTTCGATTTGCAGCACCCCATAAAATAAATAAGTAAATAAAATAAATATATTGTGTCCATCTGCAACTAAAAAAAAAAAAAACGCATTTTGTTGCCACATGGGCACAGGCGGTGGCAAGGAGCGAAAGTTGGGAGTCCGGGTAGCCCAGGCTGCCAACCAGGCGGAAGGACGTTGACACCTCGATTAGGTGACTGCCTTGGAGAAGTCCGGGGTTGAATCTGGGCTCCCAGCCTTGAGGCCAGGCGAGAGTCTTCTCAAACGGTTTCATCCTCTGTAAAATGAGTGCCCCCTCCCAGGAGAGTGTGAAGGTAACCTTACATAATCGTTAGCACTCGTTCTGGCACACAGAGAGACTAGCAAATTGCCAAAGTAAAAACACTAAAAATACTGCTGCTGGTGGTGAAGATAGGAAGCCAGGGCTAACTTCCTGAGTTGGTTCATTTTTTCCCCCGAAAGCAATTTGCATATCTTCTATTAAGACTTCAGAACACAGTTCTTCCCTTTGACCAGGTAAATCCACGTGTAGGAATCCAGCCCAAGAAAATGATCAGAAATGAGACTTTTAGAAAACAGCAGGTTGTTCATAAGAACATTATTTATGATAGCCGTCTAGAAAAGAATCAACCTTAGGGGAATAATTTAAAAAATCATGGTGTCCACCTCTTAAGGAACAGCACACAGCCATCAGAAATTACATTTTCAAAGGCTTAAATATATTTAAACACAATATATGATATGACATGAACTCAGCAGGTTACAAAACTGCATACACTTTATGATCTCAGTTTGGGAAAAATAAATATATATATGCATAGTGGGCTCAAGGGAGTTTCACTTTCTCTCCCTTTTTCTAATTTGCAATGATAGGTTTGGATAACGTAATCCTAGGGTTAGAGTGGACTTTATTTTACTTTTTTAGTGTATTTGATCTCATGCTGCCTCCTGAGGACCATATAAGATAGGGGAAGGGAGCACTCTGGGCACACTGGAACTAATTGCTTTTAATCAGCCTCTTGCTGGCAAAGCCCCTGGAAGAATATCTTTGGAGGGTGAAGAGAAGTTCATCTCTGTCCACCCCAAATGAAGTCCAAGGTCATGGGAACAACTGACTTGAGTGTTCTCTATCACAAAGCAAATTCTTAAATTCACATGGATCTACATTCAGACTTACTCTGCTCCCCAATCTGCCAAGAAAATACCATGATGATTATGGCTTTGGAATACATCGTAGTGCCTGACAGTGTAAGCTTCTGACATTATCATTCTTTAAAGAAAAAATACTTGGGCTGGGTGCAACTCCGTAGTAGAGCATTTGTCCAGCATACTTAAGCCCTGGGTTCAATCCCCAGTACCATAAACAAAACAAATTCTTGCTGACTCCCAATTGCATATATTTTTCTATGTAATTTTCATGTAGATTATAGAATTTGGTCAAACTTCTTCCAACACAGAAATCCCATCTAAATTTTGACCGATTTTGTATTAAAGGTGTTTCAGTTAAACAAATGACATCCTTATTCAGTTTTAAAATGAAGTAAAAGTCTCCAAATATTGAAGCTTTGCATTGTGCTATAGTTTTGGAAGTTTCTTTGCCTAACACCTGTGTGATGTGTGTGTGTGTGTGTGTGTGTGTGTGTGTGTGTGTGTGTGGTGCTGGGGATTGAACCAGGCCCTTGTGCATGAGAGGCAAGCACTCTACCAACTGAGCTATATTCCCAGCGCCCCCCCACACACACACCTGTATGATTTTTTTAAAAAAATATTTTTCAGTTGTAATTGGACACAATATCTTTATTTATTTTTGTGTGGTGCTGAGGATCGAACCCAATACCTCATACCAGGCGGGCACTCTACCAATGAGCTACAGCCCCAGCCCCACCTGTATGATTCCTACAGTGGCAATTGTCACTATTTTCCCAGTAAGCTTTCTAAGTGGCTATCGATTATGGCATCTTTGTTTTGTAACCTGGTAATGTAATCCCACATTATTTCTGTCTTCAGTGATGTTATGTACTCCTTGATGGCAGGAAGCAGCTTCTGCATGTCCCCATTTCCTTGGGATCTAGAAGGGCTGGGTGCACCACAGGGTTGCCTGGTGAAGTCAATTAAACAAGTAAATGAATGAGTGGATGCATGAGTCCAGGATGCAATTGCCTCCCTCTGCCCTTGAGTTGGTGTTCATGGTGGCAGCACAAATGGGCAGTAAAGTGAACCCCACAACCAGACTCCCTAGCTCAGAATTCCCAGGAACAGGCTGTGCTCCTGGGAATGATGGAGGGCATGATGGAGAATACCAAATGGACACTGAGTCACTCCAAGTCAGGCAAGAGGCAGGGGAAATGGAAGGCCATATGCTTATCACGAGGCCTCCCCAGTGGCTGCCGCCCACCTGTGCCTCTTCCTATCAATAAATGGGGTGGGAGACAGAGGATAGAGGTGGGATTACCTTGTTGCTGCCCCTGTCTTCTGGAGTGGCCTGGGGCAGGCCCCCTGATGCCCTTAGGGCCATCTCTTCTGAAGAGGACCAATGTGTGGGTAATAGGTCCTCGTCTCCCCACACTGGTCGCCACATCCAGCAGCACCCTCCGCCTCCTTTGGCAGACTAAAGAAGTCTCTCTCTGGACAGCGCGATGTCGATGGGATTGCGGTTACACTAATCGCAGCGCTCACTATTCACTGTTCCAGTGCTTCCCTAAATTGTTATGACATCACTAAATCCTCCCAGCCTCCTACAAGTTGGGCTCTATTATTATCCATCCCCCTTTCAGAGATGAAGAAACTGAGCTCGGGGAGGTAAAGTAAGTGACAGGAGGACATCAGGTCAGAAAGTGGTAAAGGCGGGATGAACCCCCTTTTCCGCAGGACAGGATGAGCCCTGCATCTTGTTAACCTCTTCATGCCCTGTGTCTTGCATGAAGCCTGGCCACTGATCCAGACCTGTTGGAGAATACATGACGAATGAATGGGCAACTCCAAAGGCCAGCCTCTGAGCAATTTAGTGACTAAATATAGTGGCTTGAAACAGGAGTTGTATGAGGCCACTGTTCAAATCAACTAGTGGTTTTTTGTGGTTGTTGTTTGTTTGGTACTGGGATTGAACTCAGGGACACTCGACCACCGAGCCACATCCCCAACCCTATTTTATATTTTATTTAGAGACAGGATCTTGCTGAGTTGCTTAGGGCCTTGCTAAGTTGCTGAGGCTGGCTTTGAACTCTCAATCCTCCTGCCTCAGCCACCCAAGCCATGGGATTACAGCTGTGAGCCACCCCGCCCAGCCCAGTGTTTTTGAGCACCTGCGACATGCACAACAGAAATGCTACCAGAGGGACTAGTGTATAGTTTTATGTGCATTAAAAAATATATGGAGGGCATGGCAGAGAATATCAGTGTGGAAGCTGAGTCACCCACTTCCATCCACAAGTTGACTCAAAGCCACTTCTTGACTTTGTGACCTTTGCCACATCCTCCGTTACTTTTCTGTAGCTCAGTCAAAATGAGCTAATGAAGGGTGGGAGACAGCTGGCGCCTCCCTCGGCCCAGTGACCTGGCTAGAGGAGACTCTCGCCCAGTGAATGCAATGGGTTTAGCAAAGTTGGTCAAAACTCTGGAGAGAGAATCCTGCCTCCCGGGTACTCGAAGCAGAGGGTCAGAGCCATTTCTAAGACTCTCATTCAATTCATCGGCCCCCAGGGGACCCAGCTGCCCTGAGCCTGGGACACCCATCTGTAGCAGCTCTCCTTTAGCCCCTGCTAAGCCCAGTGCAGAAAACGAGGCCAGGCAGGCTTCAGGTGTGTTCCCTTTCTGACTTCAGACTTCTTGCTGTTTCCCTGCCCACCACATTCTCCCCCTTCACACCTCCAAGTGGTATTTGATGTATTCCCCCCACTTTTTAAAATACTTAATTTTTAGTTATAGGTGGACACTATATATATATATATTTTTTTTTATGTGATGCTGAGGATCAAACCCAGGGCCTCACACATGCTAGGTGAGCGCTCTACCTCTGAGCCACAACCCCAGCCCCACTTTTTTTTTTTTTTTTTGGTGGTACTGGAGATGGAACCCAGGTTTAGGGCCTCACACATGCTAGGTAAGTACTCTGTACTCTATCACTGAGCTACACCACCAGTCCTTTTCTTTTTCTTTTTGAGACAGAGTCTTGGTAAGTTTCCAAGGTTGATCCTTTTTAGTCTCTGAGTAGCTGTGATTGTAGACGTGTGCAGCCACACACAGTCCATTCATTCATTGTTCAAGTCCAACCCAGCAATTTTTAGTAGACCAGGGAACAATCAAGGCACTACCAAATAGTGAAAAAAAAACAATGCAGCCCTGAACAAGGAACGTGGCAGATTTGGAAGATGTCTAAGACATTGCTTCTAAAAGGAAAGTTGCACACAGTATATATAAGAACTTCTCCAACTTTGATGTGCACAGAAATTTCCTGGAGTCCTTGGTTCTTTTTAAATACAGGTCATGATGCAACAGGTCTCTGCTGAGGCGTGAGACTGAATTTCCCCAGGAGGCCCAGTCTGCTGGCGTGATTATCAGTGACACAGAATCCTAAAGTATTTAGTATGATCCCATCTGTGAAAACAAAATAGAACAATACAAATTCATAAGGGGGGCGGGATCTAGAGGATAAACCCTAAGTTATAGATACCCGTGATCTCTTGGTGCAAGAATAACCTAAGGCCTTCAAATATTTGTATAAAGCCTGATTTTTATAAAAAGACTAGCTATTATAATTAGGGAAAAAGATAAAACCAATAAAAGCCCAGTGGTGACAGTATCCCTCTAGGCAGACATCTGTGAATGTAGTCCGATTGAATGTACTGTTCGTCCCAGCTCCCATCACTGCCCTCTCTGGTCCTCAGAGCATAATAATAGGCCAGCTTAGAGCAGCCGCTCAGGATGCAGATGTGAGGCATATGGAATTGATGTTCCAGCTGGCTGGAAAGTTGTCCTCATCCAGGTTCTCACAGCTGGAAACTAATAAGAGCCTCCCGAGTACCTGGCCTAGGCCCTGCCCTGCATGGGCATTCTGCTCTAGCACCATGTCCATTAGCCAGATTACACAACTAAGGCTCCGAGATGTGGAAGGACCTGGGTCAGACAACTTGTCTAAGGCTGGGCTAGACTCCTAACCCACTCCCTGGGGCTCTGAGGGGTAGGGTCTACTGACTCCCCCTGCCTGCCTGGAAAATTCTTCCCCTACATGGGGCAGTCCCTTACTTGCTTCAAGTCTGCTCTTGACCAACCCCTTCTATGTCCACTCTCCACAGGAAAACAAACCCTGCCCTGCTTCCTGGCCTGCAGACCTGCTTCCTTGCTCGTCACCATATGGCAAGCTGTGTCTATTGGCTGACTCGTGTATCGTCCCTCTTTCTTGCATTAGCCTGTAAGCTACATTTTAGTAAGCAACATGTCATTTTGCTCGCAGCTATATCTCTGGGGCCTAGCACAGTGCCTGGTTCCATAATACGTACTCCATGCATGAAAACTGGACAGTCTCCAACTCCTGGGTCACTGCTCTCCCTCACAGGGAAATGACCTGCTGAGCCTCCAAACATCAAAGTATGCTGCCTCCCTTTCTAGCCTCCCGGTGGAGAGTTCAAATTGTTTCTTAAGTGAAGAGGCAGATGGTTGGGCCTGGCGCCTCAGGGCCTCTCTGTGTGGAAGGACTTAGCAGGGAAGGGTTACGGTGGTCCTGGATTCGAATCCCATATTTTGCCACCATCCTGATGGAGTCAGGTAAAGGGCATCTCTGTCTAGGACAAGAACTTCTAAGTCTTCCAAGGGTCTTGTTAGCATCAGGGTCTTTGTCCTTGCTCTTCCTCTTGATCTTCCCGTGACAGACTCTCTTCTCCAAGGTCACTTCTTTGGAGAACCCTAATTCCTTCCAGTTTAAAACGACTTTCCCACACCCACAGATAACCCTGCATACTCCCCATTGATTTCTTCCATTGCTCTTGCTATGAAAGGTTTCTGCTTTTACTATTCCATTTGCCTGCTCATCGGTTCCTGTCTATCCTGCCAGCTTTGTGTAAGATCTGTGAGGCCAGAGACCTGGCTATCTTGTTAGTGCTGAATCTGCAGGCCCAGGATGGGGCCTGGTTTATAGTGGGTGCTCAGTAAGTATGGCTGAATTAATGCTCCATCCTTCTCCTTCTAGGAACAGAGAAAATGAGGCTCAGACAGGAAAGGATATGCAGGAGACTAGTGTCAGACCCTAGGGCAGAAGGCAGCAAGGTCAAGAGGAACTCTGTCAGGGGACTGTGACCTTGGAGCAATTTGATAGTCTCTCCAAGCCTCAGTTTCCCCAACTGTACAATGAAGTAAGACAGCTGAGACCACCATCCAATATCCAATTGCGAGGGGTGGTATACAGCCCACTTCCAGAAACGATATCCTCTGCAAAGCATCAGTACCCCTAGATACTGGTAAATCGCCCCAAAAGCCGCAGAAGGAGAAAACTACAACACCCATAATACCCCGGGAGGCGCTTGCGCACGGCCGCCTGCCCGCAGGGCCGCGGACGCCCTCTCGTGGCGATCCGACGTAGTGCTCCGCTCGGATCCCCGAGGGGCGGGGGGCCCACGGCGCACGCAGTCGGGGCGCGCGGCTGCAGCGGCG